TCATTGCAAAAAGTAAAGAATACTGGGGGGGGGGAGGCAGAGAAATAAGTGCAACAATGAATGAATGGAAATCAAAAGTCTCTGTAAATTTTCATTAAAATCAAGAAAGAAAAAAAAAGAGGACCCATCTTAGCCTCAGCTCTGCACCTTCACCCAGGGTGTGTCTGAGCCCCACGGTGCTCCTAAACGGCCACAAAGCACAGCGTCCCAGCGCGGCCTGCATTCACTCACTCCTGCTGGCCCCCAAACTGTGGCTTTAGGAGACTGTCTGGAGCCTCCATTCTGTCAGCCACGGCCCTGTCTGTGTGAGGGGGAGCTGTGTGTGGCAGGAAAGGTCATAAATGTCTCAAAAGTTAATCCCAACATTAAAAAAAAATCAGACATTTCCACAGGAAGAATCCAAATGGCCAGCTTCTCTGGAAAGACCAGCAACCCTGGGCTGAAGATGAAAGACGCTGTCCTTAGAAAGAAAGGTCCCTCAGTGTCCAGAGTGAAGACAGGCAAGTGAAGACCCGGGACTGCTATCAGGGAGTCTGAGAGACAGAACTTGAAGCAGCAAAAGCCCAGTCACAGACCGCAGGGCGCACTTTCAGGCAGACAGCTGCAGTCTCCACCCTCCCTATAGCCTCAGGCCGGAGGCTTTGCTCTACCACATTGCTCACGCAGCCCTGCAGGCTTTAGGTTGGTATTTGAAATACACCTGTATAAGCTGTGAAATCACACCCAGTCCAGTGGTCTCTTCCCTTGATTCCTACCCACTGCCTCTCACACCGGACTGTGCATGACATGGGACAAACCAGCTGACATCAGGAAGCTGACGTAGACAGCTGATGAGGTGCACACGCTTCGGAATCCAGACGAGTCAGAAATCTTGATGCAGAGTGCCCGCCAACTATGGGGCGTTTTGTCAACATCTATTGAATAATTGACAATCGTTGTGCTTTTATCTCTCCACATCTGCTGCCCATTTCTCTTCCCCCCGTCCACCACACCAGCGTGTCGGCCTCTGGGGGAAACAGCCTCCTAACTTATTCATAAAGATAAAACAACTCATCTGCAATGATGAACTCAAAATGGCATAAATAGTTCTTTTCACTTTAAATAGCTGTCCATTTGAGCAGCTCCGTTTTTAAAACAAAAAACCTACACAGATTCACACACTCTTGGCAAATGATTAATATTTGATCATCACTATATACCTAGCCTGAAGCTTAAACCTCCATTCAAATCAGAAGGACCCAGGTCTCTTCAGGCAAATTCATAACCTGCAGGAGAGTCAGATATAACTACAAGGATTGGGGAAAGGAAGAGAAGAAGAAATCAATGACTACAAAACAGGAGGCCTACCTGCTTCTTATCCTGCAATTTCTTAAAGTCTTCACATGCTAGCCAGAACAAAACATTTTCTTCGCTGAATTCCTTTTTTAAAAACTCCTATAGAGGGGGAAAAAAAGGGGGGGGGTAATGAGTTGTCCTGAAAAGACTTTTTCTTAAAAAAAAAGCCTCCCTCTTCTAGAATTGATTTGGCACAATCTGGCAATGAGCGTGGGCTGGGTTAGCCTGTAAGAACCCCACCCTGCAGAGCCCCGTGCATGCGTTGTGTCAAAGCCTGATTTTCCTACGCCACTGACATTGTACGGAAGAGTGGAAGTGAAGCATGTCTCAACCAGCGATTTTTGCTGACAATAAATTACCAAAAAGTAAATTAAAGTGGAAGAAATACGGGTTCCTTCCAGACAGTGTTTAAACAAAGTGCATTCCTGTAAAAATCTAGCTCATTTTCTTAAACACAAGTAATAAAAACATATTAAGCATTTTGAAAAATGCAAATGATTTTTAGCTGGATTTTTAGCCTCTCCTTGCAAGATGCCAGAGAGGGAGGTGGGTGGCATCGTGGCCATTGTCACCTGTGCTCCTGGAAATCCATTTGCGGTTTGCCTACTACAAGTTAGTAGCCAGTGGGGTTAGGTGCCCTGGTACTGCCTGCCACCTCTCGCCTGAGGGCAAGCCAGAGACCTACAGCAGGAGGGTGGACCCTGGCTTAACCCAACCTCAAAGATAGGGTTGCTGGGACTCAAGCAGATTTGAGACATTCTTAAAATCCACATGTGGTCTTTTTAGTGGACACACAGGGTGTCTGCTGCGCCAGAGAGTTATGTCCAGACAGCCTTGGCCTGTCCCTACCACTCAGTGTCCTCTGAGGCCCCCTTGCCCAAGATCTTTCTTCCAGTTGTGACCCAGCCCTTTCCACTGTGGCTAAAGGTAGTCTGGAATTCCCCAAGACATATGTGAGCCTTCAAATTTAGATCCCAGATGACCCCTTTCTGGGTGTCAGAGCTGGAAATCCTTGTGCAAACAGACCCCCAGTAAGCCCAGTACCTTTCCGCGTCATGCCCACTATGTAATGAGAAACAGACTCCAGGACCCTTAGGGTTGGCCTGCCTTGATAATGACAGATGGGCGGGCCTTGCTCTCAAAGTCAGGCCGCACCACAAACCAAATGCATCGACATCGAGCCATTTCCGCCTGCTGGCAGCCCATGCACGGCAAGGCGGAACTGCCCTCGCGGGTTTTCTAGGCTGTACTCTTTCTGGAAGGGGCTCTGGTGGCAATGGCACAGGGTAAGACAGCGTTCAGGTCTGCTGGTCATAGGTTTGCTCGAAGGCTCCTAACAACAAGAAGAGCGAGTGGCAAGTCCACAGGGAGTTGAGCTGCTAACACAAAGATGGTGTCACTCCGGTGGTTCAAATCCACCAGCAGCTTGGAGGGGAAAGATGGGCAATTTCCTGTGCAATTTACAGACTCTGGAAAACTCGCTGGAAGGGCAGCTAAGCACTGGTTCTGACTTAACAGCCATCAGTTTGAGAGTTTGGGGCCTTTCTGGCAGCAGGGGGGCAGGTCTTTCTTCCATGGTGCTGGTAAGTCTGAACCGTCAACTCTAAGGTAATCAGTTGGGAGCTGCCTTCCAAGGTCCTTCAAAGTGGGACAGACCATAGCACTGGGGACAGCGTTAAAAAACGGGCCCAGTTCCTGAACACCATCCCCCAAAACACTCATTTAAACCTCTTCATGTTTTCCATCCATCCCGATTAACAATGAAAAGAGCAAACCCGGAATCTTTTCACGCCTTCTGGGTCCTCGAGCAGATTCTCCAGGGAGACCGCCCACTTGCTGGTGCTTTTGAGGTGCTGGTGGCCGCTGCTGGAGCTCCCATCACCGTCATGGATGTCTGCAAAGTAAAGTTCAGGCTCATGACAGGGTCCAAAGAGGCCACCAAGTTAAAAGCTCCACACACAGCGGTCAATATCAGCATCACCTTGGCAGCTGATGTCTCAGGCTCCATTCCAGGCACCTAACACAACCGACACATTCTAGTCCTCACAACAGCCCTATGAGATAGGCACTACCCCCTCCAATTCACAGGTGAGGAGAACCAAGGTTCAGAACAAGTCAGGGACCTCCCACTTCCCCCACAGGCCTCATCCATCCTTTGGCACAGCCCACCCTGCCTACAGTGACTGGATTCCCTCAATCATCTTTTGCTGCTTCTTGAGTCATTCAAGATTTTGCCTATAACATTTCTAAGTACTGCAAATCAAGGCTTGAATTTGGTTTTCAGCTCTTTCAGCTTGAGAAATGCCAAGTGAGTTCTGCTCTTCTTCTCCAATTCTAAATCTCTTGTTCGTAGATCTGTTGTTCACAGGGTCACTATGAGTCGTACTGGCCTCGATGGCACCTAACAGCAACGACAACCCTCTCTCTGTGCCGTCTCCCCAGCAGACTCAAGCCTCACTGAAGCCCTCTGCCAGGGACCTAGACTGCACTGAGGCCTCCCGGCCATGGTTCTCATCCCTCACAGTTCAGTCTTGGGATAACTGAGTGAGGCTCTGTTTGTATAATACAGTCTGAAGGTTCCTGTGGGTGCCCCACTTCCACCCAGCACCCAGTGCACTGACTAAAGCATGCAGGCCCCTGTGGGTGCTCCCCTCCTATCCCAAACCCAACACAATGTCTACAGCATGGAGACCCCGGTGGGTGCCCCCCACACCCCTGCACCCAGCATACTGACTGTAGCATAGAGGTCCCTGTGGGTGCCTCCTTGTTACCCCAGCACCCCGCACACCTTCTGGAGCATGGAGGCCCCTATGAGTGCCCCCTCATACCCTAGCACACTCTCTGGAGCATGGAGATCCCTGTGGGTGCCCCCATACCCCAGTACCCAGAGCACTGTTTGAGCATGGAGACCCCTGTGGGTATCCCCCGTACCCCAATACCCAGCACACTGTCTGGAGCATGGAGACTCTTGTGGGTGCCCCCCTCATACCCCAGCACCCAGCACACTGTATGTAGCACTAGGAAGAGTCTACAGCAACACCAAGACTAGGTGAGATGCTTACCACAGGTTGTCAGAAATTTCAAGATATTGCAAAAAAACTTGGGCACCAAGATAAATGACATTCTGGTACAACTGGGGCGGGGGAACCCCACCACAAAACCCAAACAAAATAAAACCCAAAACAGTAAACAATCCAAACAAAATCACGTGATGTGAAGAACAAGGCACTAAAGCGTTAAACAGAGGTGAAACGGGTGTCACAGTGCTTCTTGCCTCAGTTCCAGAACCAGTCACCACTGCAGTTACAGCTCCTCGCCTTGGTTTAAAGTCTGAAAATTTGTTCATCATGAATGTTTTCTCCTTCATTAAAATGTTTTAATTGCATTAAATATCCTTCACCTTGATGACGAGGAACCCTGGTAGCACTCAGCTTCTGAGCTGTTGGAAGTTCGAGTCCTCCCTGCGGCTCCACGGGAACCCATCACGACGTCCACTCCTGTGAGGGCTGACGCTGCTGTGGGGCCATCGACTCGGGCTCACAGGGACGCGAGGTGCCCACCGTGCTGAAGCCCACTGCTGCAGCCAGCGTGTCATGCCCGCCCGCTGAGGGTTTCCTTCTCCTTCATTCACACCCCGTCTTTACCACTGCGGCCTGGGAAGCCCGCTGGGCAGTTCTGCTGTTACTCGGGTCAGCAGAAGCTGGAATCGATGCACCCTTGTGTGTGGAGTGAATGGATGGTGTGCTCTTACTCCATTCACAGCCCTTGAGCTGGAACCACCTCCTACACGGCTGACCCTCGGCGGCTTTTCTGGAGGCTGTCGGCTGCCCAGAAGGAGGCCTGCTCAGCTCTGCCCAGTGGAGCCGCTGTGGAGTCAAACCAGCCGAGAGGCCCTGCCTTTGGGATAGCCGGGCAGCATCCTGTGGACTAGGCCACCCCTCACTGCCCACTCCTTACCGAAGACACTTGAAAAAAAATGAAAGGAGAGGGGCGAGGGGAAGTTAAACTAACAGCCTGGCGGCTCTCTGGAGGAGGAAATGGCCACAGAGACATCCTCATTCTACAGAGTCTGAACCTTCCTTGATGTCACAGGAAAATCATGAATTACCACTTTAGACAAAACCCAAATTGGCCAATATGAAGCAGGTGACTTAGGGCAAAATTCTATGGATAATATGAAGATAACCCCACTAACACTTAGGGTATGTTAAAGATTAAAAGAGGAAGCCTCAGACATCAAGCAGGGGCAGACCCCTCCCATCTTCAGTTCCTCTCTCCCTTTCCTTAAAATAAGGATCCGTCAAGCTATTTTTACAGCTCACACTTTTTTCCCAAGTTAAATTTTTCCCCTCCAAAGACAGAGATGTGTTTCTATGAAGGAAAGTTTGAATCCAAGGAGAAAAATAGACCTTTCATTAAGGAATCAACAAAGTACTGACTGATGATCACTCAGTCACTTTAGAAGGAAAACCAGAAATCCCTAGAAAGATTAACTGGTCCAAGCAGCTGGGGTCACTGAGCTTACAGGTTTTTTTAGGGGGAAATGTCTTAGGACACACTGGAGCAATTAGGAACTAGCTTCCTTGGTCCATTGTGGGTTAAGTCACATATTCATTCAGTCTCTTAACTTCTTAAGAGATCCTCAACCCCCAGCCAGGAGGAGAACTCTTTGGAGCTATTTGTTGGCTGATGGACGAAACAAAGCCGCTGCAGAGTGCAGTGGAGGAAGGCGCAGGAAATGGAACGTATATGAGAACCACTCAGGATACAGCCATTTCTTCTAATTAAGGAGCAACCAGCCCCACTCACGCACACCACCAAATGGACCAGCACTTCTCTAAAATGCGTCTTCGGTTCCTGGACACCAAATTAGTTCCCCGTTGTCTCTGTTAGTGTGAAACAGGATGAGCTTCTGAGCACAGAGTGACTTCCCAGCAAATACACATCGAGGACCAGCCATTTCCATGGAGTCCATTTCTCAGAGTGTCCCACTCATTTCCCCTCCCATTCCTGGGGCAGCGCAGAGCTAAACGGTTCTGCTCACAGGTCTTTCCTTAAGCAAACAGCTATGAGGACAGGAGTGGGCAGTGCCAGAAGCCGGCTTGGGCAGCCTCCGATTTCTCCTGCCTTCTCAGAACCATGACTTGGACCAAGAGTTTGCACCCTGGGTCTGAAATTAGGTCAAACCCCTCAACATTCTTTTCGATAATAAACAAACCACTTTTGGGGTTTTTTTGCTGCCACACTGACTTGTACTTAAATACCCTTGGTGGATCCCCTTTTAGTCCACAGTGTTTTGGGTAATTGGAGCCTCTGGTTAATGGAGAGTTTAAGACAGCTGGCTCCTTGGTCAGACAGGGGCTCCCTTTCCTGTATTCCATCCACTAATTAATATTTTTTTATTTCAATTTTATTTTACTTTTAATTCTAATTAAAGTTTAAAGAGACTTTGGATTCACTAATCTTTTTTTCATATTAGGTTGCTGCATCAGCTTTCAGAGCACTCTGTGGTGGCCTAAGAGATAAGGAGTTGCAATGCCAACCCAAAGGCAAGTGGTTCGAATCCACCAGCTGCTCTGCAGGAAAAAGATGGGGAAATTTCCTTCCATGTGATTTACAGCTTCTGGAAACCTGCTGGAGATACAGGTATGAACTGATTCCGACTCAGGAGCACTGGGCTGAGTTTCGAGCGGTGCTGGCTTTCCTTTGAACAGGGTGCTTCACTGCTCCAAACCAGGTGACTCCCCAAAGCTGCTCTATTGTCGTGGGCTGCTACTGGGTCACTCCTGACTTATGTGGCCCCATGAACAAGGCAACAAAAACCTGCTCAGTCCTGTGCCATGCCCACCACTGGCTGCAAACAGAACCAAGTGATCTACAGGGACTTCACTGGCTGGATGATGGACGCCGATCACAGGGCCTTTCCTAGCCCATCTTAGCCAGGAAGCTCTGCTGGTTCCTCTCCAGCATCAGCACAACACACAAGCATCCACCGGCAGAGGGATGGTGGCTGTGCATGAAGTGGATCAGGCATGAATGAATCCAAATCTCCCACATGAAAGGCAAGAATTCTACCTCCAGGCACCACTAACCCCTGCGACATGGTCCCAGCCCCTCAAAGACCAGGAAACACAGGTCCACGGGTTGCCATGACCTTCCCAAGGTGACCTGGCTGAGGATGCGCTGCAATGGGACCAGTAGGAGGGACACACACGGAGACAACTGTGCCTACCTGGGCCAGCACAGACCCAGGGCTCCAGGAACACACGCAGAAAATTGATGGGCCCTCCCGTCACTCCTCCTGGGCTCCCATCTCCCTCCCACCCAAAAGAAACGTCCTTCGACAGACACCATCATGGAAGGACTCAGTGTTTAGAGCTGCCTCGGAAACACATCAACACACAACTACTCTACTCGCAGCAGTCAGGGCTTAAGAAGAAGCCTCCTTGCCTGGGAGCCTGAGAAAGAGCAGGTTCTCAGTGCCCACCTCTTGGCCTCACTGGTCCCTTCTATGGGGTTCTTCTGTCCAGTCTATCTGTCACAAGGTGTGACTTTCCCGAAATATTGGCTTGGATTTTTCCCAATACTTTTGTCTTTCAATTCTGATCAAGGTTTCTCACTACACTTTTTGTTTGGGAGCCTTTCTGAAGAGCATCCTTTACTAGATCTTGATGGTGCACCATGTGCAAATTCCATCTACTTCACATGTCTGTTTTCAGTCATTATCACAGAGCTCCACTGTGTCAGGGAAGACGTCGGCAGCATCTGGCACCACCTGGAAATCATTTGTTTTTCCAGTACCCAGGATCCCCTGCTTGGAACCTGTCCATCATTTTCTGAAGCACCCGGAAAGAACTTCCTCACCTCTGGTGGTCTAGTGGTAAGGAACTGAGCTGCCGATCCAAAGGTATGCAGTTCGAATCCACCAGCTGCTCCGCAGAGGAAGATGGACAATCTCTTCCCATGTAATTAACTACTACTGTCTCTGAAAACTCACTGGAGGGTGAGCTGTGAGTCAGTTCCCACTCGACAGTAACAAAAATAACAACAGCCATCCAGTTCACATCAAAGGTCAAAAGAGACTCAGTAACACACAAGAGAAACTAATAACCTTTCTCAGTAGCAAGCAGCTTTGCTTCTGAATTAAAGAGAGAAACAATGCCAAGATTTCACCACTTCACAAGTCATGCCACTTAAGATCACACAGTCCCAACAGCCTCTCTTCTTCTCTCATTGATAATGTTTCTGTTTTAAATGGCTTGATGGTTTCCACTTTAATGTGAGAAGGACTTTCCCTCACCCCAGATAGTCTCTACCCCTCAATCAACTCCGGTTTGTTTTTTATTTAAAAACACACACGCTCACAAGTTTGAGAGGTAAAGGTGGAAAAAAACATTAATTATAATTGCCTAGCCATTTTACGACATCTTTTGCTTAGTAAGGGGATGTTTGTGATAACACACATTTGTTTCCAATCTGTTCTTCTCAGTTTATGTTCTGCTACTGTTTGAGTTTGACTGTAAAAATATTTTCCCAATGGAGGAAAGAAAATGAAAAACAGTTTTTTAAAAAACTCAACTTTGTAAGCAAACCAATATAAAATAATTTTTTTTTCTAAAAAATCTCCTAAGCTCTTTAAAGCCTTTTAGAGCTTCCCATTTTCCCTGCACCGAAGTATTTTTCAAGAAATTCGCCTTTAGATTCATTTGTTAGGTACTAATAATAAAAACTTACAGTGCATGATGCGCCAATACTGCTCTTGGTAGCAGAGTAGTTAAGTGTTCAGCTGTTAACCAAAAGGTTACAGATCAAGTCCACCGTCTGCTCCAAGATAGAATGATGAGCAGGCATCTTCTGTAAAGATTTACAGCCTTGGAAACGCTATGGATTTCTTCACCTCTGCCGTAGTGTTGTTGTTGTTAGGTACTGACTCATTGCGACCCTATGAACAAAAGACCTGGACACTTGTGTAACTTTCATCCTCTCTCCAGGTTCATAGGGTTTCCAAAGGCAATCTGTTGTGGAAGTAGATGCCACTCCTGCTTCCAAGCTTGTTTTAATCGGGGAGCTCCACCAAACACTGTTCACCATTCTCACATTTGACACAGCTGTGTCACAGTGTTCAGCTTCACAGCAACCACGAGTTACCTCTGTACAGCAAAAGGACAAACCAGGGTTACAGGACCTAGAAGAATGTCTCGCCAAGGGTCAGTATGGGTTGAAATAGACTCAATGGTTAACAGGTTAATGGAGTAATATTCCAAGGTCTTTATACATATTCAATCATTCAGTCCCCACAAAATAGCCTTCTGGTATGATCACATTACCCCCATTTTACAGATGAAGAAACTGTGGCACCATTTCCTGTGGTTAAGTCACAGTCTGAGCTCACCCAGTCTGACTCTGGAGTTCTCACCTTTAACCACCCAGCTCTCCTGCCACTTAGATTTACGATCTGTGCTCACCTTCCTGGTCCCAGAAGCCAGAGCATGAACGGCTTGAAGAGGCTGACAACGCACACAACGGGGAGAAGACTGAAAAACCCGAAGTCACAGTGGACCCCGGGGAACCAGCCAGCACGCAGACCACGCACACACACATCCTCCATAGACTTCTGTGCTGTCTCACATGGTCTCCGACTCCAGAAGGAGCCACTGATTTAACGGCAGGCGTAGCATCACCATACAGATGGCTGCGCTGGGAGCTTGCAGCTGCGTCATACATTATTTATGGATGCTGTGATGTCATAGCTAACAGAGACCTTCTCCAGACATTTGTTCCCTGGAAATCCATCCTGAAAAAGCATCAGAGTGCTGACAGCATGGATTCCTGCTAAAAGACTGCAAGGGGGTGCTGTGTGAAGATTCAGCATGGTTGGCTGCCCCACGTCAAGTAAGATTCCAATGATGTGGTTGCAGCACTCGACTTCTAATTGAAAGGTCAGCAGTTCAAACCCACCAGCCTTCCCTGGGGGAAAAGACATGGCATCTGCTCCTGTAAGGACCTGCAGACTAGGGAACTCTGAGGAGTGCGGTCTGTTCCACAGACGTGCTATGCATTGGAATTGACCTGGTAGCACATCACCACCATATCTGACTTCCTCAGCAGAATGAACCAATCTCCTAACAGGGCACGTCCTAAGTATCTCCAAAGTGCACAGAAGAGTAAAGAAAGTAATTAGAACGTCAAGATCAGAAAAAAACAGAAAGATCCACTCTAACCAGGTTGATACAACACACTCACACATTGGCTCACACAGCACACAAGCACTCTTAGGAACCATATAACACAGCAGAACTTTGTCTTTATGCTTTCTGAGGCTGTGCACCTTAACAGGAGCCCAATGTCACACCCTCTTCCTCTAGAGTTTTGGTGAGTCCCAACAGCCCTCCTTCCAGTTAGCATGCAAGCACTTTAACCACGGTGCCACGGGGCTCCTTTACACACACACCCCATTCTCCTTTAAAATGTCCCACTGTGCAGAGATGCTCCAAGGAAAATGCACAGACCCTTGGTCAAAACTTAGCTGGTGTGCCGATGTCACGTGTAGAACATAAGACACTCAAAACCTCAAACCCCCAGCCAGCAAGCTCATTCTGTCACAGAGCCCCTGCCCCATCAGGTCCTCCAGGCTATAAATAATAACAGGAGTTGACAACCCCTCTTACTCTCCAGGCGCAGCTGGTGGATTCAAACCCCCATGGCTGTGCAGTCTTTGTTACCCACACAACATGCTGCAAACTAGAGCCCCTCATATTACATTTAACAAAGGGGGGGGGAAATTGTTGCAGTCTTCCCAACTCTTTCATTTGTTACAACTGGCGACTCAAATTGGGTCATGGAGACACTCTATCTAAATACTACTTAAGTGTTTATCTGCTCCAGGATCTAGCTTCTGAAAATAACTACCCAGCAGGCATGCAAATCCCCTGGTGGGTTGATATGGGTGAACTACAGAGACAAAAAAGTAAAATTAATAATAATAATAATAATAACACCAAAGACAAGAGTTGGAAAGCCTGTTCCAGGGTTGCTCCTCTCAGGTGGAGCATCAGGCAGTCTTTTCACAGAGCTCAAGACCTCAAAGTCAAAGCTCACAGCGTACTTCCAAAGGCGGACGACGCACTTCTGCCGGGTCTGCCCAGGACGCTCCCCACAGGCTTGCCAGGCTCTGGGTCAGCCCAGCAGGCTGAGGACACCCTCTTACGTTCCATGCTCCAGGCTCCCCGGCAGGCTCCCCACGGAGCAGACGCCACTGCCTTTGCAAAGCTGCTGGTCTGAGGGAGGCAGGAGGCCGTAGGGCTCCCAAGCACCCTTGGGTCCAAAGGGAAAAGAAGCCTCAACATCCTCTTTCAGTGGACCAAACAACAGATGGTCACTGGTTTCCAGCTTCTACCAGGAGAAGGAAGTCAGGCGGCCAATTCTCACTCTAGACAAAGGCAGAAAAAATAGGGTTGCCAGGAAGCCTGCCCTGAGGGTGAACATGAAGACTCTCACTCATGGTCTTCACCCCAGACACCCATTACTTCCTCCAGGGCCTCATCTCCAGACATACAGATGCTCTCACATCTCCCTGCTCCAGGCAAAATAAAGTAAGTGACTTTGCCCTTCCACTATCAGCCAGGTAGACCCAGGGCTATGCCTCCTTCATGCCACATGCTCGAGTTCTCCATTGACAAGGGCCTTCTGTTTGGTGCAGGCACTGGGTTGGGGCTCAGGCCCATTTCACAGATGCAGAAACAGAGGCACAGGGAGGTGAAATAACTTGCCTAAAAGACACAGGCAGGCCAGCGTCATGGGTCTGCAGAGCGTGGGAGGGGTAAAGGCAGTGAAATATGCACTTTCTCACAGAACTTAAAATTAACTGAGAAGGAACCCCAGGGTTCCCAGAAGGCCCACGGCCCCCCAGTGCCACGCTGCCATCAGGTTGTCCTCATGGACTATGAAGAAATGAGAATAAGAAGAAGGAAATATTTACTAAGTGACCTTTGTTAAAAGAGCAAAAATAGACTTGGTGTTATTTTTTCTTTTTGAAATGGCTAAGTGCATTTATTTCTTGTCGCTTTGTTAAAGGGACGTCTTGAGACACAAAGGTAGGGAACTGAACTGAGAACCACAAGGTGGCGCCTCTCTGGGAATTGGAACCCACCAGCCACTCCTTAGGAGAAAGATGGACAATCTTCTCCGGTGCAATTTACAGCCTCTGAAAATCCACTGAAGTGTTAGGTATGAGTCAGTTCTCACGCGATAAAAATGAGAGAGAGCAGGAGTCCGTTAGTGCAAGAGTTGGCCCCCGGCAACTTTCTGAAGGATCATTGGTATTCATAGCGTTTTCACTGGCTAATTTTTGGCAGTGGATTGCCAGGTCTTCCTTCCTATTCTTAGCATGGATGCCCCCCTGACGCCTGTCCAGCAGCACAGCAACATGCAATCCTCAACTGACAGGCAGTGGCTTCTCTGGAGGGTACACAGGGATGAATCAAACCCACATCTTCTGCATGCAAGGTGAGAATTTTACCAGCTGGTGCAAAATTCAGAGAAATAGATCTGTCCACCTCTGGCCCTCAGCTCCCTACTGACCCTCCCTGGAAGTGACAACCAAGGCAAACAGAGTCCCCTGTTCTGGGAGAGTCTGAGTTCATGCAGGGTCCTTTCTCCTCTGAGATGAAAGCCGCGGATGATGGCTTTAGTGGATTTCAGTGTCCTTGATGGAGAAAGGAAGAAAAGGAGGGAGGGAGGGAGAGGAGCACCTTGTTTCCTGCCTATTGTCGCTGTTGTTAGCTGCTGCCACCTGCCCCCCCCCCCAATCCATGGTGGCCCGTGAACAACAGAACTAATGATGTGCAGCCCTGAGCCATCCCCAAGGTCAGCTGTGGGTCAATGCAATGTGATCCAACAGTTTCCTCTGGCTATTTTGTGCCACAGATAGATGGATGGTCACTCTATGAGGTCCACCGGCCAAGAAGAGAACTGGGTGTCCTGCATGGAGGGCACGCCAGCATGACAAACCCTCTAATTCCTATACATGCTCCAAATACATTTCCAGAAAGTGATCAAATGGGTGCAGCCTGAGGTCATGCCTGCAGCCCTGGACTTGGGGCAGAGGTTCAAGTTCTCTGACCTGCTCTTTGGTGGGCTCTGGAGAGAAGCCAGTGCTGTTTGAGCAGATAGGAGGGGACAGTCTGGCCTGCAAGAAGAGGGTATGCTAGGGGAAGGGAGATCCAGGCTTAATGAGTAGAGGAGAGGACACCTGCAGGAACAAAGACACAGAGAAATAGGGCAGGTGGGAAGACAGGCTGGACTGGGGGTCCCTGGGCACTCAGCAAGAGCTCTGGTGGTACAGTGGTTAAGCATTTGTCAGCTAACGTGAAAGGCAGTGGTTCAAATCCGCCAGAAGAGAAAAATGGCACAGTCAGCTGTTAGGTGCCATCAATTGGAGTATGACCCACAGCGATCCTACAAACAACAGATCTGAACCCTGTCCTATCCTGTGCCGTCCTCACAATCTCTGACATATTTGAGCCCACTGCTGCAGCCATTGTGTCAATCGACCTGGCTGAGGGCCTTCCTCTCCTTTGCGACTCTCTGCCTTTCCAAGCATGATGTCCCTCTTGAAGGAAGTCTCTCCTAGCAACATGTCCAAAGTATGGGATGAAGCTTCCCCATCCGTGCCTCCAAGGAGCACTCTGGCTGCACTTTCTCCAGGATATATGTTTGTTCTTTTGGCACTTCCAGGGTAGCCAGCACTCTTCTCCAGCACCACAACTCAAAGGCATCGATTCTTCTGCTATCAGATTCCGGCCTGGGGCACCCTCTGGGGTGGTTCTGCCTGCTCCACGGAGCTGTGCTGAGTATGAATGTGCACAGTGGTGGAGGGAGTGATGGTGGAGGTGCCTGGAAGCCAGTGTCAGCTGGAAAAGTCCCTAAAAAGCTGGGAAGAGAAACTAGTCCCCGGAAGTCCAAGGGTACTGTTCCCCTCTTATCAAGGGGCTGCTGCTGCAGCCTCTGAGTCACCACCCTTACCCCCTCTCTTGCAGGCTGCAGAGGCCTGCTATCTGGGGGAAGCAGAGAAACGGGCAAGGGTAAATTTAGTACCATTTGAACAGCAAGCTCCGTCCAGGAGAAGGCTTACTCAGTTCCTCAGCCCAGAAGAGAAGTGACTCAGTGCACGGGTGACCTACAAGAGGGCCAGGCTGGCCATGCTTGGGTCCCCACAGTCTAATAGGTTGGCAGGAGGTGCCCACAGGCCACACTTCACCCTCCATCATCCACAAGGGCTCTCAGCAGCAGTGCAGGCTCCAGGCACAGCTGGCTGGCCTGCAGGTGACCACACTGCCTGTCCTCCCGCTGCCTGACCCCTGGAGCCAAGTGTCTGGAGCAGTGACGATTCTCAGGGGAAAGCTCCCTGCCTGCCAAGGCCACCCCGATGCTGGTTATTAAAACAAAGATGTAAAACTGCTGCGTGGACTGTCAGCTTTATATAAAAACTTAAGCCTGGCAATAAATCAGAAAATCTTCCCGGGGGTGAATGAGGTCATTTCTAAAGGACAGAGGGGCTGGATTGCCCAGGAGACTGTGGGGATTCCCCTGCAGAGCTCACCCCTCCATCTGGTTTGGGGGGTTGTCTTCGGTTTTTGTTACTCAGATGAAAACATCTTAAACAAACTCTACAAGTCACTGTGGGGGACAGGAAGGTGAACAGTGTCCTCTGGGAGGTAGTAAAGCCCCAGTGACACATTCACATCTCAGTGGGTCACTCACTGAAAATGTGCCCACCCTCCCTCCCTCCGGTCCTCAAGAGGGGGTCTGAGGTCAGGCCTGTTGTTTTGTATCATCAAGTTAGAACCAACTCATAGCTGACCCTCCGGTGGGTTTTCAGAGACAGTTAATCACATGGGAAGAGACTGCCCATCATTCTCCCATGGAGCAGCTGGTGGATTCAAACCACGTGCCTTTGTGTTGGCAACTCCTTACCACCAAACCATCAGACAACAGAGGTCTCTTGAACCAAGGCTAGAAAGCTGCTCTCCTAGAAATGGATGGAACATGCTCCCAGGAAACCTGGGATGGAAACTCAAGGAATTCCACATGGAACTTGGAGCCTGGAGCTAGGAGCGCCCCAAACCTCCCACCTAGGGACTCTGCTCCCAGTAGGTCTGCTGCAGTAGAAGGGACTCAGGGAGGTCGGGCTACAGCCAGCACCAGACCAGAGCCCCTGATTCTGCAGGACCTGAAGGTGATTCAGTAGGGAGACTTCGTTAGGAAAATTATTCAAAACGATTAAAACAAAGAAAGTCAGTGCAGAGCCTGGGAAGGAGCCCAAACATCACACAGGGCTGGGTTCCTGATAATCCCACCTGTGGTTCCCCCTTCTCACAGGAGTCTCCCATTCCTACCGCATGGCATTGATGGCCGGGGGACCTTTCTTACCTGGTGCGACAACTTTAAACCTGAAAATCCCAAGGAAATGGAGATCTGGAAGTCCAGGCACCCAACCCTCACATACACCCTTCAGACAGCAACCTTTAACTAGCAGCACATTTCAAGTTCAAAGTCTGATGCCTCTAAACGAGGTACATTCCACCGAGGTCCCTCAGGCACCCCTAGTCTTTCTGGGATATGTGGCCACATATAAAGACATCCCACACCCATAAATTGTCCACAGTTCTATTTAAGATGCTTCACTCAAAAATCAGCCACAGCACTGAGAACCTATGGAAGGAAAGTTCCTCACAGTAAGAACAGGAGAAAGGCGGAATGGGAGCAGCTAACAGTTCCCACACGGTTACGTGCTGGCCATTCTACTCCAGGCTGCATATGCTTTAATGTATATCATCCTCACAATGCTAGGAAACCCATCTTACGGGTGGGGAAGCTGATGTCGCTGCAAACAAACCCTCTGGGTGTAAGAAAGTGCAGATACGTTGATGTCCATGGTACAAACAGCGTAACTACTCCACTCGTTTCAAGATACTGGTGGTTCTGCAAGATGCCTGCCTGGACGGAGCCAGAGCTTTGCATTAGAGAAGAACCTAAACAGGAACTCTGTGTGTGCTATGGCAGGCTGCTAACCAAAAGGTCAGGAGTTCGAATCCACAAATGAAAAGAAATGGGGAGCTGCTCTTATAGAGACTACAGCTTAGGAAGCCCCATGGGGCAGTTCTACTGTCTAACAGAGTCAGGACGAGTCGGCCACACACACTACCACTAAGCT